CACCGTCAGAAGATACGAGTAGCCCTCAGACGCAGACGCAGAAAACGCAGCTCTTCGTCCTCTAGCTGGCAGGCTGCGAGCTTGTCGAAGTCGTCGACTGGCGGGCACGGTGCTGAGAGCATCGCCACTGTTCGACTCAGAGCGTCCGCAGCTGCGTTTTCTTTCCCAGGCACGTGCCTGATGTCGGTGGTGAACTGGGAGATGAAGTCCAGGTGCCGGATCTCCCTCGGCGAGTAGCTGGCTGACCCGGACGAGACTGCCGACACGAGGGCCTTGTGGTCGGTGAAGATGGCGAACTGGCGGCCTTCCAGAGTGTGCCGGAAGTGCTTGACCGCCAGATACGCCCCGAGCAGTTCGCGGCCGAAGGTGCTGTAGCGTGTCTCTGCTGGTTGGAGTGACTTCGAGAAGAAAGCCAGCGGCGTCCAGGTCCCGTGCGAGTGTTGCTGCAGGACAGCGCCGACGCCGGTGTCAGAGGCATCGACCTGCAGACTCAGCGCTGCGCCGGGAGTGGGGTGCGCGAGCTGCGTGGCCTGAGCCAGGGCAGCCTTCACGCGTTGGAAGGCGTCCTCAGCGGTTGGCGTCCACTCCACCGGCGCCGCGCGTTTGCGTTTCTGGTCCAGCAGGTGGTGAAGCGGTCGGAGGAGGCCGGCAGCACCAGGCAGGAACCGGTGATAGTAGGTCACCAGGCCGATGAACCTACGCAGTTGGCGTTGCGTGGTCGGCTGCGGAAACTCCTGGACTGCGGCGACCTTCTCCGGCAGCGGGGCGATGCCGTCCGGGGACACATCGTGACCGAGGAAGCTGATACGGTTGACGCCCAGCACGCACTTCTTTGGGTTGATCGTGACGCCGAACTTGTCGAGACGTTCCAGTACCTGACGGAGGTGACGGCGGTGCTGCTCGACGGACGTGCTGGCGATGAGGATGTCGTCGATGTACACGTAGCAGCACGTCAGCCCGCGCATCACCTCGTCCATGAAGCGCTGGAATGTCTGACTGGCGTTGCGAAGACCGAAGCTCATCCGCTGCATCTCGAATAGCCCGAACGGTGTGACGATGGCCGTCTTCGGGATGTCAGCGGGTTCGACCGGGATCTGATGGTACGCGCGGACGAGGTCGATCTTCGAGAAGATGGTACAGCCGTGCAGGTTCGCGGAGAAGTCCTGCAGGAACGGTATGGGATACCGGTCCGGGACGGTGGCGGCGTTCAGGGCGCGGTAGTCGCCGCACGGGCGCCACTGTCCGGGCTCCTTCTTGGGCTCCATGTGGAGGGGCGACGCCCAGCTGCTCTTGGATGGGCGGGCGACCCCGAGTCTGATCAGCTTGTCGAACTCCTGACGGGCGATGCGGAGTCGGTCGGGTGGCAAACGCCGAGGGTGCCCCACACGAGGAGGTCCACGTGTCACGATGTGGTGAGTGACGTTATGGCGCACGGGCAGGAGTTGCGCAGATGTGGCCGTCACTCGAGGGAACTCTCTAAACAAGTCTGCGAGAGTGGGCGCCGCGCACATGCGCACACCGACGGAGCCGATGTCGGCTCGGGTTCCCACGGCGCACGTCGTGCCGTGTTCAGCCTGGAGGAGCTGACGGCGCATGTCCACCAGCAGACGATGATGGGCGAGAAAGTCCGCTCCCAAGATCGGCATCGATACGTCAGCGACCATGAAAGTCCACGGGTAGTCCACTGTTCCGAAACGCACCGAAGTCGAAATAACGCCATGGAGCTTGATCTCTGTGCCGTTGGCTGCTTCCAGTCGAGGCGCGTCGGGCTGCTGCACGGTGGTGCCGTCGGCCACGACTCGTGGTGGGACGACACTCACCTGTGCGCCGGTGTCGACGAGGAACCGCCAGTTCCGGGCAAGGTCGGTGACATAGAAGAGGGGCGCCAGTGTTGGCCGGCCCGTCTCCGCTGGCGCTAGCGCGGACAGGCGGGCTAGTTTCCCGACCAGGAGCACGGCGGTCTGCAGCGGTGGGCCTCCGCGCCGTACTTCTGGTGGTACCAGCAGTACCCTTCATCAGGTGTCACCGATGCCGGTTGAGAACTGCCAGACGAGGCAGGTGCGGGTCGGCGCGGACGGGAGCGGGAGCGGCCACGCCGAGGAGCGTCGGCACCGCCCCGCTGGAACACGGCTTCAATTCGTGCTACCGCAGCGGTGAGGGCGGTGACGGCAGCGGCCATGCCGGCGTTACCGCACCCGCAGGCGGCGGGCGGTCCGGCGGCGGCCACCGCGCTGGCCGGCGGGGCGAGCGTGACCCCAGGGCCGGCCGGCGGGCCACAGGCGGCAGCGACACCGGCCGTCGGCGTGCAGACAGCAGTCACGGCGGCGCCGCCAGAGGCCTCCTGGAAGCGGTCGGCCGCGCTGGCCAGGTCATCAATGCCAGTGGCCTCCGGCAGCAGCGCGAGGGCGGCGCGGGTCGTCGGCGGTAGGCGCTGCAGGAACAGCGTCCTGAGAAGGCCGAGGTCGTGGCCCGCGCTGCCCAGCATGTGTTGCATGCTGCGCAACAGCTGCGTGGGCTTCCTGTCGCCCAGCTGGTGGTCGCGGAGGAGTGCCTCGAGGCGTGAGGCGCGCGACTGGGCCAGGCGCGTGCTCAGGGCCCCTTTTAGTTCTGAGAACGAACCGGTCTCGGCTGTTATCACGTCTCGAACTTGTGAAGCGACATGGACAGGCAGGTTGGCCACCAGCAGCCGGAACTTGTCGTGGTCATCCGTGATGCCGGCGACGGCGAAGGCACACTCGACCTGCACCAGCCAGAGCTCGGCTTCTTCAGGTGCGTAGGCCGGCAGCCGGAACGACGCGAATGGCCGCGTCGGCGCGTCCTGGGCGGCACTCTCCGGCTCGATGGGTGACGGCATAGTCACTATATACGGCAAACACTAACACTAGAGGCACACTGAAAGACTGTCGGTAATCACTAGGCGCTCGCCGCGCTCGCTGCGCTGCACTGCGTTGGCGCTCGCTGCGCTGCACTGCGTTGGGCGCTCGTTGCGCTGCACTGCGTTGGCGCTCGCTGCGCTGCACTGCGTTAGGCGCTCGTTGCGCTGAGGCTAGGCCACGTCACCAGCGCACTATTCACTGTTCGCGGCAGCGGAAGCCGGGTGAAGATCACCCATTCTTGCCGAGGCGATGGGGAGGCCAGGTCAAAGATGACCTCTTCTTGCCGAGGCGGAGACGATGACTTCTTGAGCTACCAATCACGTCGGGGTCACCATTTGTGGCTGGTGCCGTGGCGAGTCGTGCTCTAAGCCGGATGAAGCCGTTCCAGTGTTTGGGATTCGCAACTTGGGATTCCACACAACGACGGGCTGGGAAGTTCCCTGATGTGGAGCCGTCTCCCCCAAACACTTAGATCGGCCAAGGATAGCGATGTATTTGAAACAGCATGAGCAAGCTATGTAGTGAACACAACGATGAAACCATAGTTCGTTTTGGCAAAGTTAAGGACAGTACAAAGCAGTGAGAAAACGTATAACAGAGCGAGAGATACTTTCTAGTAGAGTGCATGAATGGCCACACGACGATGAACATTATGATACATACACACGAACATACATTTCTAAAACATTAATAAATCGGACATAGAAATGAACAAGTGGAGCAGAGCCATCTGGCGGATATCGCTGAACCTGCGCCTCGCGTCAGTTGCGACAGCAGCGCCACGTTGAGGTCGACGGTGGCGCCGCCCCGCGTCGGAGCGCTTGCCAGTCGCCAGCGGCGGTAGTGCCGCGCCGCGTCGGAGAACGTGCGGCGGTGCACTACACATTTGAAGACCCCACACCGGCGACTCTGAGGGCCACATCGGCGTCCGAGTCCGTGCCGGTCTCTAAAGACGACCCCACAGGGTTTCTGAAGGTACCACCGGCCTCTGATGGCCTTTGCCGGCCTCTGAGGGCCCGTCGCCGGTCTCTGGAGCCCCCTGCCGGCTTGTAAAGGGTACGCGTTATCAGTTCTAAGGATCAGACACTCGTGTACGACGGACCCACATCAGTGTATTTGCAACTGAACGTTTTTTTTCGCCCTTCTTCTTAAGACTAACTTTTCTTTTCTTTACATCTTATTTCATGCATTGTAAATTGCGTAATTGTTTTATTTTTAGTAGTGAAAGACTGCGGAACGAATTATTTTCCTCAAGCAGAGTTAGTGGGAGTTATTGAGGGACAAAATGATTGGGGTTGCTAACTGGAACATTTGGGGGTGCCCGGAAAACCATTGGGGGTGCTCATTTTAGCATTGGGGGTGCTGCAGCACCCCCAAAAGTATACAAATCGACACCCATGCGTGCTAGTCTTATACACCGCAAAGTGCAGAGGTGGAGATCTCAGGGGGAAGGGGGGGGGGGGGGGTACACGAAAACGAATTATTGCTCTGTAAGTCAATGGTACTGCCTCCAGCCCGGCTTCATCTGCACGGCCTGGAACCCCCCACCCCCTTGAAATTTTGAAAGCTCCCCTGGCAAAGTGCCAATGACGATCTGGTCTTCATAGCGAAATATCCCTCCTCAACAGGCTCGAACATCATTAACCTAATCCAGACCCAGCTCAGCTTCGTCTAGACTGATAGCACATGTCGCGCTAACTCTAACTGATGAGGCCGTGGGCTCAAATAACATATCTAACTCCGCGGCCGCTCTTTTGTTTCCAAAAGCCAGCCTGGAGGTCAAGCCTTTACTGATAGGTTAGGTCTAGGTAGGTAGGCAGGCATATGCTTCGCCCAGGTTTTGGCTGCTAATACTTGAACCGGATAATTTGTTTTATCTATAATGTTAATGTTTATATGTATCTATATCTAATATCTATAATGTTTTATATGTAAGTCAATGGTACTGCATCCAGCCCGCCTCCATCTGCCCGGCCTGGACCCCTCCCCCCTGACATTTTGACAGATCTCCAACCCTGCTATATAGACTTCGGAATGCATCCGGCCGGGCCTCCTAATAGGTACCTACGTTAGACGGGGCCCTCCGCTGATCTGATCGGTACACCTTGATATGATGCGTTCAACTGCATGTTTAAATATTGTATTAAGGCTTATACCTGATCGAGCACATGTTCATGAAAGTGGTACGTCATATACCTACTGTCCAGTAATCACATTACATCACATTCATATGCGTACACAAGTGACCATGTCAGAATGAAGCACTCTCTAGCATGCAACCCTAAGGTTCTTGTCTGCCAGGCGGCCAGCCTCTCTAAAGAGCTGCCAGCCAAGACACGTCATTAGCACAGCTAAGGCGATGACTTGAATCAAATCGGGTAGCGCCAATTAAAATTGGTAAAAAATGTCCGCTAGTAGGTGGCACAATCCCTGCCATAGCGTTCCCTCATTAATCTGAGGCGGACACGAACCAGCCTATGGAATGACTAGAGAAAGCAGCCACGATCCAGGGGACTAAAACGATAGCCACAAACTAGCCACGGACTTTTCTCTAGACTCCTAGCGCCCCTGGCGACGAATGGCATAACTACAGCTACGAGTCCTGCTCGGGCAATACCTAAAGCGCGGCGCAAAGAACTGGACTACACGCGACAGTGCGACACGGAATGGATAGTGCCTAGTCGTCACATTTAGTCATTTGGTCAATGATCGGCATCGAATCACAACTCACTAACTACTTGATTGCACCGCTGCAATGCGCCAACCTCGAATCACAGGGCATGTGGCAGTAGGACGGCTCAAAGGGGAGCCTGCTCTTATGGTCAGTGGCGCGTCGGGAGGATCGTCGTAAGGCAGTCACATCAGAAGCACATCCCGACACTGACGTGCTCCAGAATCTCCATATTCATCTCATAAAACCCGTCCGTGCAGCGCTCTGCCGTCTCCGAGCCGCTGTCGCTCGCAGATGATTGGTTACTGGCCAGTGACGTCATACTGCCGAGGGCCGGCTGGCACCGCCGCGGGCCGGCCAGCAGCGGCGACTCGAGCGGACCGCTGGCGGCCAGCCGGGCGCCCAGCGCGTCCCCGGCTGGTGGCGGGCGGTCCCCGCCACCGCCCGACAGCAGGTGGGCCAGGCGCTGGCGCAGCCGATCCGTGCTGCCCTCCAGCGGCGCCGGCAAACACTTGTGACTTTCCGCACCCCGCAGAGAGGGCGCTGAATGCAGGTAGTGAGCCGCTGAGACCGGCGACTGGCGCGGGCTGGCGGTACCTGAGCGCTGCCACTGCCCTCCGGAGCCGGGCAGACGCTGCAGACTCGCGGCGTGGACCTCTGAGGCCAGCGGCGGCCCCCGGCTCTTTCCGTTCACCATCGAGAGCGGCCGCCGGCGCTTCCCGTCCACAGACTGGGAGGGTGGCCGCCGGCTCCTTACGTCAATGAGCTGGGAGAGCGGCCGCCAGCGGCTCCTCTCGGCACCCGCCGAGCTGCCGGAGCGCCGCAGCAGCACGCGCAGAGAGCCGAACGACCTCAGCTGCGACCGCTGCGACCGCGGCTCGTCCCCAGGTATTCGCTGCGGCTCGTCCTGAGCGGCTGGCTGCGGCTGGCCGTCCCCCTCCAGCGGCTCGCTCAGCTCGCAGTACCACGTAGACCTTTGTCTCGGCTCTGCAGCAGCCTTTGGAGCCGCCTTGGGTACCGCTTCACCTCTCGCCACCGAGGACGAGTCAACGTCCCTCCGCCTGACGTCCCTTTGTGACGGCCCTTTTCCGTTGTCCTCGAAGTACCGGCTCAGTCTCAGCGACTTGCTCCTGAAGAGTCCGAAAAACTGGCGCAGCTCGGCGCGGCCGCTCTGGCGCAGCTCGCTCAGCCGATGGGTCACTGTGCGGCGCGGCTGCGGCTCCGCCCGAGCCGCGGGCGCCTCCAGCGGCGGTCCTCCAGCCATCGACAGCGGCCGGGCGCCGTAGTCGAACAGGCTGACGTACTCGACGTTGTCCCGGCTCTCGATGGTGATGGCCGACTGGGGCCGCTGCGCGCGCCGCAGGCCGGTGCGGGGAGAGACGGCGGCCGACGGCTGCTCGTCGGGACCCCGCACCGTGGTCAGCGTGAACTCGTTCCAGCTGACCAGCTCGGGCATATTGTCCTCTTCTGCGGCGAGCTCCGCCGCCCGATCGCCGCCCTCACCGTCACTGGACGCGTCCGGAGGGTCTGCTGCCTCAGCGCCCTGTCGGGCGCTCGGAGCTGGAGACACCTCCCCGCGCCGAGTGTCAGCGGCGGGAGCGGCCGGCGGCGAGTCACTGCGGCCGCCCGCCTCGGCGAGGTACGGGCTCCAGTCGGGCTCTCGCTCGCTGGGAGAGTCGCTGGACGAGGTGGGGCTGCGGCGCACCTCGCGGCGCGGCTTCTCCCACAGCCGCTGGAAGTGTTTGTGCTGCAGCACCAGCTGCTCCACAATCGTCTGGTCGTCGCGGCGCTGGTGCCCGTTGTCGGCGGCGGCTGGGACGGCAGAAGGGGTGGTCGAGGACGCCGAGGTGCACGTGGAAGGGTGTGGTGAGCCGCGACCGCCGCCGGCTGACTCCTCGAGGTCCTCTTCGTCCAAGTCCGGCAGGAACGTCGAGGCGCGCTCCGCGCCAGCGCAGGGCGAGCACGGCGGTGTGCTCTTCCCACTCTGCGGGCGCACAGAGAGAGCGTGACAGCGAGCAGGCACACTGAGCCAGTCAGTCAACAGGAAGGGCATAATGGACCAGTCAGTCGACAGGAGAGGCACAACGGACCTGTCGGTCGATATGCGCCGGAATCACCTCTGACGTCAGGCTGAACAGATACTCTGTGAAATGAACCTTCAATACTCACCTGAGGTGCAACGCGACAAAGTTTTATGCTGGAATAAGTAAGTTTGCGAGATATAAAACGCGTTTACAATCCATCTAACTTTAAACGTGCGCCAGCCAAATGCCCAATTCAAAATGACGTGTTAATTTAACGTCGGTATCGACACCAAAACACAAAATCTTTTGAGGTCGAATCGAGCGTGGAACACGCGGCGTGAGCTGCGGACGCTGTGAGGTACTTACAGCGGCAGCTGAGCAGTCGTGCTGCTGCTGCTGCTGCTGCTGGTCGGCCGGACCCCAGTCGGGCGGCTGCCCGTGCCGCTGCTGCTGCTGCTGCTGCTGCTGCTGCTGGGCCCGCCGTCGCTGGCGCTGCTGCGCGGCTGTCAGCTGCGGCAGCTGCGGCGGCAGCACGCTGGCGGCGGCTGAGGTGGTCCTCTTCACCGAGCGGCGCCGCTCCAGGTACTCGGGTACCGAGTGGGTGCGCCGACTGAGCCGGCGCCGCAGCGCCGCACCTGTGGCCGCCACAGGGCAGATAGCCGTCAGCCGTGTGTCACGGGGTAAAGGTCAGGCACGGTCTCCCGCCGACAGACGGCGCACGGCGCACGGGCGGATACAGCGCACAGCCGGGACGGGATAAACTCACGCTACTAGATTTGACACATTCGGTTCTTGCATTCTGTATCAACAAACAGTTTGAATAATACAGGTCGAATTGTTAAAAGTGACAGTTCTAGTCCTTTTTACCGTTCAGCAACGATTTACGATTAGTCTCCATCGGTCCATATAGGTATGTACATACCTAATAGGTATGCGGCCGATGATTATTTGTTATCAGTTTGTCTGTAAACGTGATTATCTGAGGCGTAGCAGCGATAAAGAACGAAAATTCCACACGTCTCGCCCGTGATTCAAGCCGGATCTACATGTTCTGAACGTTTAGTGTGCGATTCAGAATTCGCTTTGTGCGTCGTGATTAACGTGTCACGTTTCGTAGACCGTTTGAAGCGATTTAGGAGAGCATTTTGCCGACATAGTTTTGGCTGATTGTCGTGTTGCCTGGTCGAATCGGAAAAACACAAACGAACTAACGTAGAACTATGTACTGAATTAAATCTCATTTGCATAACGCCAAATTGCTTGAGTGGATCTATCCCGGTGTAAACCGTACCTACATCACCGTGCGCCTCCTGGCAAGGAAAGGGGGGCAGACCCTGGTTCAGCATTTAATTAAGGTCCCATTCGGTACACTTATCATTCAGGCATCATGCCGCTAGCCACGTAACGAACGGTTAAACCAAACGTCTACAAAATAAGAACTAGCTTTCAGCCTTTCCATTGCAATGTTCTGAACGATTCGTTAGGTGACGTGAGAGTCGAGCGAAGATAAAAAAACGGCAGCTGATGGCAGTCAATGGCCGGAACTACAGTAAAGGGCAAAGCTGTCTCACCGTTCTCCCGGTGCTGGCCGAGCTTCATGACCAGTTCTCGGGCGTGTTTGGGTATGTCTTGTCCGTAGCTCTCCAGTATGGCTCCCTTCAGGCGCAGCGCCCACTGCCGCTTCGACTCGACACTTCGAGCCTGGTGGCCAACAGTAGCAGCAGTGAGACATCAGAAAACAACAGTGAACAATTTAACACCGGTGGCCGTTCATTTATCATGCGAGTATTTTGCAGAATAAAATACCTACGACAAACTACATTATGCTCCAGCACCTTACCCTGGCTGCGTTTATCATAATCATTTGATTCCGACGGATAGATATGATCGCTATTTGTATTGGCTCGTCATGACAGAAGTTGTAGCCTAGGTACATTTGTTTTGGCTCCTCACCTGCAGGGTGTATTGTTCGTGGGGATCGTCAAATGGTAAAACTTGCAGGCTGTCCACCTCCCCCGGTACGCTCTCAATGAGCATCAGGTTCGAACACTGTAACGAACGTCGCAGTGAGATGGTTACAACGGGACGTAGGTAACATGCTGTTGGTGGAGAGTCACTATCATAACGCTATCATTTCGAAAATTGAGGGACCTTTTCTCCGAGCTACCTCAGCCTTTAACTCGGTTGTTTGTGGACGATATTTGTTTATATGCGATATGCTGATCCTTTCATGATTTAGGCATTGGGAAAATACGTTTAAAGAATTACTGTAGCCTGAAGGATATTTTATAACATGGCTATGCATATCAATGGTCACAGGCCACCAATCCTGCACATACACCCTGCAGCGTTCGTTGACGTGCTCGTCCTATCGCTGTTCCGGCGCATTCAGCGCCACCTGGCGCGGGCCCCTGCCTCCCGCCACCTGCGCCACCTCCCACCCCTCCCCTCCTCCTCCTCCCCCTCACTGGGGGCACCGCCGGCTCACCAGTATGTGCGTCTTGTACACCAGAGTACCGTCGTCCCGCTTCTTTGTGATGAGCAGCATCTTTTCGAACAGAAACACCTGTCTCGGCACCTTGGCCCGGGGCACGCGGAACGTCTCCTCGGCCACCAGCTCTCCGAACGTAGTCAGGTCCTCGCCCTGTAAGACAGAATTAAGTCAGATGGGTCAGGTCCTCGCCCTGTAAGACAGAACACAGTCAGATGGGTCAGGTCCTCGCCCTGAGGGACAGAACGGAGTCAGATGGGTCAGGTCCTCACCCTGTAAGACAGAAGGGAGTCAGATGGGTCAGGTCCTCGCCCCGTTGGACAGAACGGAGTCAGATGAAGTCTTCATCAGGTACAAGTGGATCAGGGACCTGTGTGGTCTAAATAGTAAGGTACATCGAATAACCATACCTACACATTGCACATGCCGATATGTGCCGTGCATGTATGCAACTCCCAGAAGAATTACCAAATCAGAGAATAATAACGCATTCACTGGCGCCGAACCGGAACCAACCGATATTTGGAGCAAGTGACCGGAATAGTTGAGTGCGCAGCACTGCCGCCGAGGTGTTATCACTCCCCGGACAAGGGTCAGTTCAGATGTTCGTGAAGTTGGCGTCGACGCCAAGGACTTTTTCAGGGACGAGATCCGATTTCGTCCCAGAACGGCCACCTAGCAGAGCCGGAGTCGGCAGCGAGCGGGTTAGCTGAACTGGCAGCCACAACAGCAGGTCAGCTTCACTGCAGCCTATCACGTATCATGCGTTTCATTTATTTATTTATTTATGATTTTAGCGAGAATCTTATTGCCGATAAAGACGGCAGCCAAGGTTGGTTAATTGTTGACACTTAGGTGCATATACCTAAAAAGTTATCTTCCCTTCATCTGCTGGATAATCACCCTTAGCCGGCGAGAATAAGCTCAATCTCCCATTGTCAGTTAATTATTCCAGCGTTCTTAGAAGAACAGTTACACCGATCCTGCACTGGCGACTTCGGTATCGAGAGAATTAATGTAAAATTGGAAAAGGACGCAGATTAATATCATGCTGCGCCCAAAAGCAGTGGCAGCCAGGCCGGTACCGCGGACGGTGGACGGTGGACAGCGGACGGTGCAGCGGTGGACGGTGGACGGTGGACGGTGGACGGCGGACGGTGGACGGCGGACGGTGCAGCGGTGGACGGTGGACGGTGGACGGTGGACGGTGGACGGTGGACGGCGGAGATGGACGGTGGACGCTGGATGGTGGACAGTGTGGCCTGTGGCCCGTGCGGACAGGACACCTTGGTGACGCTCGGCAGCTGTTGATTGTTGAGAGCCTCTATCTGACGGAAGCCCACACAGATAAGAGATAGCTCTATCGTCCACTGCACCTGCCCGCCTCACCCCATCACCCCACCCTCCCCTTCAGTCTCTGTACCCCACGAAGGCCCCATGAAGGTAGTGTTCATCCGTCGACGCCTCCCTCCCCCCTCCAACCCCCCCCCCCCTCCACCCACCTGCCACAGTCGGATCAGGCCCCCCTCCCTCCCCCTCCCCCTGTCACAGTCGGATCAGGCTCTGCACTTCCCTCCCCTCCCTCCCCCCTCCCCCCTGCCACAGTCGGATCAGGCCCTGCACCTCCCTCCCCCCCCCCTCCACCCACCTGCCACAGTCGGATCAGGCTCTGCACCTCTCTGCTCCACCCACCTGCCACAGTCGGATCAGGCTCTGCACCCCCCTCCACCCACCTGCCACAGTCGGATCAGGCTCTGCACCTCCTGCACGCGCACGGCCGACTCGTGGCGCCGTTTCATGTCGTCGATGTGGTCAGCCAGAGCGCGCATGGAGCGCAGAGCCTCGTCTGTGGCCGCGCGCTGCCACTCCGGTGACGCCGCGCTGTGCGTCCGCAGACTCTGTAGACGCGAGAGGTGGGGTGGGTCACTCCTCTGGGGACACTCCTATGGGGACACTCCTCTGGGGTCACTCCTCTGGGGTCACTGCTCTGGGGACACTGCTCTGGGGACACTCGGGCACTACAGGACGGATGGTCGGATTGTGAAAACGCTAGGTAAATGAAAATAAGATGAGGCTCAGGCATGAGCGCTGACGCATCTGCAACTAAAATAATATGCAATGCTTCAGTCACTTTCAAGCTTCGTTGGAATAAAGACGTCAGGACGATTCTTGTATTTCGTCCAAAGCACCAACCACTCGAATAAAGTTCGAGAGTTGCTAACAACTGTTGTTTGTGCCAGTGCCCTGCACATAAACTTGTAAGTTAAACTGCCTTCCTGCTTGATCACTTACCTATATGGAACGCACATTTTATGCATTCTTGCTAGATGCCTTTGGCAGATACTACATGCTACGCTATAATTTTCGGGGAAGTAAGGATTTCAGTAATTCATGTACGTAAACCTAATGAGATTAACCCGCGACCTGGTGGGGGGGGCTATTTTTTGCCCCCCCCCCCCTCCAGACTTTTCAATATATCTCCAGAACCGCTGCGCCGATCGTCACCAAACTTACAGTACCCTCCCGGACATCAATTTTACACATTGTGACCAAAAATTTTTCCAAAGCCTATGATAGGTTGGCCGGAAATGACGTCAGAGTGACGTCATGTTCTGCCGTTTTCGACCCAAAAAAGGGTTTCGCGGGAAGAGCTGTCAGGCCTATAGCTTTGCAAATACAGAAAAATGATAAAGACATAAAAGCTGTAGAATTGACAGGGCTACAAAACTGCTATCTCGGATTTTTGAATTTTTTTTATTTTGACCCCCAAAAATCAAAAAATAGATTTTTTGGATATAATAATCGAAAAATCCAAAAAGTGTTTTGAATTTCGCAAAAACCGGAATATATGTGATAGTCCTTACCGCCTTCCATCCACATACCAAATTTGAGATTGATACCTCTTTTTTTGGCGAAGTTATAGCGAAAAAACTGTTCAAAATTGATGACGTCAAATTTTCAAACTCAATTTTGAGCAATTCTAGACCCCGTAGCGCAAAACAAAGACCACCATTAGACTCCCCATGACGAGCTGCATCGAATCAATACCCATTTTATGCAAAACTATCAACTTTAAAATTTGACCTTTTTTGGCCTGACCTTGACCTGACCTTGACCTGAAATTCACCAGAAAGTGACCTAAGCCGTACCTGATAGTCTTATAACCAACACCATTGAGTTGGAAATGAAAAATTGGCCATAAAACACGTATCACACAACCTTAGTAAAGTTGGGCTCATGTGACCTGACCTGTGACCCTTGGTGACCTGACCTGTGACCTGACCTGGTATTGTCAGTGACCTCTTATAGCAACATATGTACTAGGCAACTGACGCCCTATCGCTGATTATCGACAAAATGCGTTTTTCTCGGTGTTCTAGCGCATTCCCTAGAAGACCCGTGAACGGTGAAACATTTCATCTTTGACCTGACCTGTGACGTCATCGGTGACCCTGAGGTCAATGAAATTTGGTTTCCTTCGACAAATTTGACAGGCCTTTCTAACGCCGTTTGAATTTTGCGGATCCGTCCAGTAGTTTCGGAGATACGAGGGGGGGGGGCAAAAAATAGCCCCCCCCCCCCCCCACCAGGTCGCGTTATAAACAGACCCCACCAGGGCGCGGGTTAACGTACCATTCACCCATTGAGAATCTTGAGTGAGGAGATAAAGAATCTTTTAAAAATAAAACAGGTGCATAAAACCCGGCAGCCCCGATACAACTCTATCGTCCCGAACTGGTCGAAGTGGTCGTCCCTGTGAGCGGGTTGGGCCGGCCGCGCTGCCCCGAGGGTCTTGCTGTCTACGGCCCGGCACTGCCGAACGGTGCGCGGCCCCGCCCCGGACCTCATCAGTAGTCAGCAGCCGTCCGAGGCCGATATCAATCTCGGAAAACGAGTCGGAGCGGCGCGAAACGGCGCTCTCCGTCCGACCAGACGCATTAGCTCGTCCAGAGACGACAGAATCACTCGCAATATCGCATGCGAAAACACCATGGTAGCTGGAGAAACCTAGCGTGATTGGCATACAAACTGCTAGCTTGCTAAGACAAGGAAGACAGAGGCCTAGCATTGAGTGGCATTGTAGCCGGGGGTCTATGTAAAACCGGGTTATCAAAACGAGACTTAACCCGCGCCCTGATGGGGGGGCCATTTTGGCCCCCCCCCTGTGGTTTTTCTTAAATAGCGCAAAAACGGCGGCGCGCAGCGCCGCCAAATTTTGGGTACCTTACCGGGCATCAATTTGACACCTTCACACAAAATTTCAAGTCACAGGTCACCTCAGGTCAGGAGTTATTGAGGTCAAACTGAGGTCATGTTCGAGTAAAAATGAGCAAAAAACATGACATCTTGAAACGCTCACCAATTCTACAGTTAACAAGCAATTTTAAAGTTCTTTATGTGGTTGTGTAGAGAAAAGACGGCGCTACAAAACTGCTATCTCCAATTTTCGAAATTTTGGGATTTTGACCCCCGAAAATAAAAAAAAATGATTTTTTTTAGAAAAACTCAAAAAATTTCCAAATTTTTTTTCCGAATTTCGAAAAAAACCGGAATATATGTGATAGTTCCTGCGCTCTTCGATATACATACCAAATTTTAGATCAATACCTCTTTTTTTGGCCAAGTTATAGCGAAAAAAACTGTTAAAAATTGATGACGTCAAATTTTTGAACTCAATTTTTAGCAATTCTAGACCTCGTAGCGCAAAACGGAGACCACCATTGAACTCTCCGTGACGAGCTGCATCGAATCGATACCCATTTTATGCAAAAATATCAACTTTGAAATTTGACCTAATTTGACCTGACCTTGACCTGACCCTGACCTGACCTTGACCAAAACGTGACCTAAGCTGGCCCTAAAGTCTGTCTGACCCACATAATCGCATTTGTCATGTAAAATGGACCATAAAACATGCATCACACGACACTTTCATATTATGACCCCCCCAGTGACCTGACCTCTGTGACCTGACCTGGTATCAGTGACCTCAAATAGCAAAATATGTGTTTGAAGATCATTTTCCCATCGATGATTTTCAATGAAATGCATTTTACTCGATTTTACAACGCATTTCTTGAAATGCCTGTAAACGGTGAAAATTCGACCTTTGACCTGACCTGTGACGTCATCGGTTTGACCGAGGTCAATGAAATTGGGTCACTAGGTAGTTCCCCGTTGGGGCTATCCAACACCGTTTACCGCTTGTCGCTATGTTGCGTGGTTCTCGAGATCTGAGGGGGGGGCCAAAATGGCCCCCCCCCCCCATCAGACCGCGTTGCTCGGCAGACCCCATCTGGGCGCGGGTTAACCCGCGCGGGGCTGGGGTCTCCAGCCGAACGCGCGGGGCTGGGGGTGGGTAAATTTTACCCCCCCCCCCTATTATCTCCCAAACTAATGGTCCGATTTGGAAAATTCAAACGCCAATCGAAAGATCTCATCACGAACAACTAAAAACATGTACTTAATTTAAAGTTTTAGCCTTGAGGTCAAGGTCAAGGTCAGGTCAAGGGTACAAAATGCAAGTTTCTACAGTATCGGCCTTGCACCGTAATTGCCGAAGAATGGACTGAGACTGATTGCCCAAAACGAGTTCTTAGGCTACCAAGACAATATTCGTTGCATACAATATCATTCAGAGGTCAAGGTCAAGGTCAGGTCAGTTCAGGTCACCAAAAACAAAATATAGAAAAGGGCATGTGCGACACATGTTTTATGGGTCATTTTATTCATAGAATTCAAAAGGCACACTCAATAGGTGATATGGACCACATCTGGATGAATTTCAGGTCGAGGTCAGGTCAAGGTCAGGTCAAGTGAGTTCAAATTTTGAAGTTGGTTGTTTAAGCCTAAAAAGGTGTCTATCTGATGCAGTTTTTCACGGCGAATCGAATGGTGCTATTTTTGTTTCCGTACGAGGTCAAGAACTTCCAAAAAATGCATTTTTCAAAAATTTTGTGTGTCGTGACGTCGTGAAATTTTTAATAACTCCCACATCTTTGAACCGATTCTTCTAAAAATTGGTATGTAGGTGCACATAGACCACATCTCTGACACATATTCCGTTTTTTTTCGATGCACTTAAAATTTTGGATTTTATAATTATTTTCCCAAAAAAAGTCAGTTTTTTTAGAAAAAATGGCTAAAATCCAAACTTTTCAAAAAACGAGATAGCCATTTGATAGACAAAAAAGAATTACGTATAACCTTTTTTGTTACGTCTTGATTCCTTTAAAAATGAAGATGTTAGCGGCGTTTGAAATTTTGCCGTTTTTGAGGCGAAAATGGCGAACATGACGTCACTAAAACGTCAATTTCTCAAAAAATTTCCGACGGATTTCGCTCAACTTTTCAGGGAACGTGTCAAATTGATGTAAGAAAAGGTCCTGAAAGTTTGGCGGCGCTGCGCGCCACCGTTTTTTAGTTATTGCAAAAATTCGCGAGGGTGGGTAAAATTTACCCCCTAGCCCCGCGCGGGTTAACCCGCGCGGAGCTGGGGTCTCCAGCCGAACATTTAACCCGCGCGGAGCTGGGGTCTCCAGCCGAACGCGCGGGGCTGGGGGGGGGGTAAATTTTACCCCCCCCCCCCCTGTTATCGCCCGAACTAATGGTCCGATTTGGAAAATTCGAACACCAATCGAAAGATCTCATCACGAACAACTAAAAACATGTACTTAATTTAAAGTTTGAGGTCAAGGTCAAGGTCAGGTCAAGGGTACAAATTGCATATTTCTACAGTATCGACCTTGCACCGTAGTTGCCGAAGAATGGAGTCATGGACTGAGACTGATTGCCCAAAACGTGTTCTTAGGCTACCAAGACAATATTCGTTGCATACAATATCATTCAGAGGTCAAGGTCAAGATCAGGTCAGGTCAGGTCACCAAAAACAAAATATAGAAAAGGGCATGTGCGACACATGATTTTTGGGTCATTGTACTCATTGAATTCAATAGGCACACTCAATAAGTGATATGGACCACCTCTGGATGAATTTCAGGTCGAGGTCAGGTCAAGGTCAGGTCAAGTGAGGTCAAATTTTGAAGTTGGTTGTTAAGGCCTAAAAAGGTGTCTATCTGATGCAGTTTTTCACGGCGAATCGAATGGTGCTGTTTTTGTTTCCGTACGAGGTCTAGAACTTCCAAAAAATTCATTTTTTTCAAACTTTTGTGTGTCGTGACGTCATAAGATTTTGAATAACTCCCACATTTTTGAACCGATTCTTCTAAAAATTGGTGTGTAGGTGCACATAGACCACATCTCTGACATATTATTCCGTTTTTTTTCGATACACTCAAAATTTTGGATTTATAATTATTTTCCCAAAAAAGTCAGTTTTTTACAACAAAAATAAATTGGCCCAAATCCAAAATTTTCAAAAAACCGAGATAGCCATTTGAAAGACAAAGTAGAAAGACGTATAACCTTTTCTGTTACGTCTTGATTCCTTTAAAAATGAAGATGTTAGCGGCGTTTGAAATTTTGCCGTTTTTGAGGCGAAAATGGCGAACATTACGTCACTAAAACGTCAATTTCTCAAAAAATTCCGACGGATTTCGCTCAAATTTTCAGGGAACGTGTCAAATTGATGCAAGAAAAGGTACCTACCTACTGAAAGTTTGGCGGCGCTGCGCGCCGCCGTTTTTGAGATATTGCCCAAATTCGCGAGGGGGTAAAATTTACCCCCCCCCCAGCCCCGCGCGGGTTAAGGTTAAATTAGGAGAGAGGGATGCTATTTTTGTACGTTATTTTCCTATAATGTACTAAAAGACAGGGTTGTCTCGTAATGTTCACTAATCACTGCTCAGTACTGGATAGTCTTGTGGCCAGTTATTGTCTAGTCATGTAGACTAGTTAGATTAGACAAGTCATGTAGTCATGTCATCTAGACATCTAGTCATGTCTAAAGACTACATGCACAACAAGCGGATGAGGGGTGATGGGTGACATTTTTACATGTTATTTACCGTATTTTATTGGAACGGATCGTCTCACAGCAGTCTAGCCCGCCGTTCCTGTCGTCCTGCGGGTCGGTCTGTAACCTGCCGTTCTTGTCGCCTGTCCAAAGCGCGGCAGTCTGACCTGCCGTTCCTGTCGCCCTACCCGGTGGCGCGCCGGTCTGACCTGCCGCCCCTGTTGCCCTCCCAGGCGCCTGGCGCCACTCACCTGCAGCAGCAGGTGGTACTTGAGGATGCGCTGGACGGGTTTCAGCAGGTAGGATCCGAGCGGCAGAGTGTGGCCCAGAGCCTCCTGCCGGTCCCGCAGCAGGCGCGCCGTCTCTGTGCCCGAGCGCATCAGCTCCGTCAGCAGCGACATCGCCCTGCGAGTCAGTGAGAGGACGGTCAGACACACCAGCGGGCAGCGACATCGCCCTGAGTGTCAATGAGAGGACGGTCAGATACACCAGCGACATCGCCCTGAACGTCAGTGGGAGGACGGTCAGACACACCAGCGGGCAGCGACATCGCCCTGAACGTCAGTGAGAGGACGGTCAGACACACCAGCGACATCGCCCTGAGCGTCAGTGAGAGGACGGTCAGACACACCAGCGACATCGCCCTGAACGTCAGTGGTGAGAGGACGGTCAGACACACCAGCGACATCGCCCTGAACGTCAGTGGTGAGAGGACGGTCAGATACATCACACCGTCAGCAGCGACATCGCCCTGAGCGTCAGTGAGAGGACGGTCAGACACACCAGCGACATCGCCCTGCGAGTCAGTGAGTCGCAGGGCTATTATTTCACATTGCAGCACTGTTGAACAGCATGACCTAAGGGCCATGCCCCATCTGGTACAACGCCACGGCTTCATACCTTTCGGCCTCTATATATATAGGTAATCGTTTGGCGTATTTCTAGAAGCTCATGATAATTTTGACACCTATACGTAGCCAATAATTCATAAGACGCCGTCCGCGGTCCGCGCCTTTGTGCGAAAGGCTGTGAGTGGTCTCATGGGTACCTACCTACCATATCGCACCGTCGCAATTCGCATTGATAGGCACGAGAGCTGCGCCGTGGTCTCCTGCTGACCTAAGCCTTGGCTTTGTGAGCGTCTCGGGTTACCGAGCCCGTTCCTGTGCCAATACGATAGCCGTATCACATATCATATCAGTGAGCCCGTACAACACTTGGGCGCCCTATCAGCTGCAGCGTATTGTACACACTGCATGCGGCGTCGAACACCAGCAGACCCCGCCCGGGCGGCGCCCCCATCCCCACCCGACCGGGAGGGGCGACAGCCGCGAAAGAGAGCCACAGAAGCCGTACAGATGTAGCGAAGAACTACACGACCTGCAGCTGACAGCAAATTGGACTAAGGACGGATCGGGGACGCCACTCAGAGTCGAGCGCATTCCCCGCGGTCCGGGAATAATCCACCCATGTGCCTGTCCACGCGGCTCAGTGTCCTGCAACTTTGTTCAAGGCAGCTTATATATCCGTTTCAAATAAAGACACTCACTGGAATAGGTCCCTGACGTTTTAAAACTCAGTGGCAATTTCAGCACCCCAAATCCCTTATGTTACGTTTGTTTCCATGAACAACTCATAGTACTGAACGGATAGCATTTGACAGTCGTCGGGCCGCTGTAGAGCAAGCCTAGGCGGGGGTCTACCGTAGCGGCCTAGATCAGTAAACCCGCGGCTAAAACGCCGCAGGTTTACTGACGTCGGTGCCGCCCGTCAGCCGTAATCATCAGCTGACGGCGCTGGGTGAATTACCATCGGCCAGCCACCATTAGCGCTGTCTGCTCTGTGCGTCCGTCTCAGCTGCGCAACATTTATTTATGCATTTTTTAAACATAAGTTAACCATAACAATTTTCATTTTTATCTTAAAAGCAAATGGCTGAAGATGTGCGTTTTATTGCACAATGAGGACAGTTCAGCATTGATATATGATCTTTGTGTGCAGGCTACGACCATTTAAAGTTTGCTTATTATTAGCACTGAATTTAAGTATGCATGATACTTAAATATGTATGATACAGTATGTATGATACAATGTATCATTATCATTGCAAAAATAGCAGTCACAAAGATGATGTGCACTTCTGTTCTGCTAAATTCTGCGCGTCCGCCTTTCGCTACCTCAAGTTCTATTTAGGTATTTTGTGTACCTACTTGCATTTAGTTGTTCTTATTTTCGTATGTAATGAAGGTCGTTGAGCACTGAGCAGCCAATTCGATAAATGGCGTCCGTATTATTGGCTTGGTACGTCCTATTCAAGATCCGTCCTAATCCCGTTGTAGTCTTGTCCCTCGACATAACATCCGTTGGCGTACCGGCAACCGGATGACAGCTGGGGTCAGTCGGCGGTCTGGGGTCAGTCAGCGGTCTGGGGTCAGTCGGCGGTCTGGGGTCAGTCAGCGGTCTGGGGTCCGTCAGCGGTCTGGGGTCCGCTGGTGGTCTGGGTCAGTCGGCGGTCTGGGGTCCGTCGGCGGTCTGGGGTCCGTCGGCGGTCTGGGGTCAGTCGGCGGTCTGGGGTCAGTCGGTGGTCTGGGGTCAGTCGGTGGTCTGGGGTCAGTCGGCGGTCTGGGGTCAGTCGGCGGTCTGGGGTCAGTCGGCGGTCTGGGGTCAGTCGTCGGTCTGAGGTCAGTCGGTGGTCTGGGGTCCGCTGGTGGTCTGGGGTCAGTCGGTGGTCAGTGGGGTCAGTCAGTCGGTGGTCAGTGGGGTCAGTCGTCGGTCTGGGGTCCGTCGTCGGTCTGGGGTCAGTCGGCGGTCTGGGGTCAGTCGGCGGTCTGAGGTAGAGGTGGCAAAACTGGAAAATTTTGGGACCCGGACCCGGACCCGGTCTGACTGGCACATTTCTGGAACCGGTCAGACCCGGTCTAAGTCAGCGTTGGAACCAGATGGACCCATTCCCGAAATTCATTATGAAAATTGTGTACAGTTGTAGGTATAGCAAGAAGAAAATAGTTTCTTTCCAATTGGGCATACTTGTGTTGCAAAGTAAAAAACTCATGCCATGGTCATTTCACTTCGCTTCACAGTTTGTATTTTAGAACCAGATTCAGGTCATATTTAAGAATATAAGAAGTAAGTAGACCAATGAATTTCATGCTATCCTAAGCCACTTTTACTACAGCTGCTAAAAATGATGTGAACTGGGGATCCATGGAGCAGTGCCTTCACCAACCAGAGTCAGAACCTAACATCAACATGGAACAAGATAACCATACTGATAGGTACATACCTTTTCTAATATTCTTGGTAAAAGATATTCGTTTTTAGAATTAAATTCATTAGTCCTTACAAATATGATCAACTATTCAAGGCCCCAAACGAGAAAACATTCAAAATCAAAAAATAGAAACATGATCAAAACATGATCAAAATTCAAAACATTGTGAGGTCCGCCAGAAATGTCGACACGATAGCAATGAAAGGACAAAACAGGCGTTAAATCACTGCAAAATTTTGTTGGGGTTAAAGTACTGCAAAATCGTAATGGCAAAGGGCAATAAACTTCAAGTACTGCAAGGTTGCAATCATGACTTAAGTGCCAATTTATTAACGTAGAAAACAAACTACATTTTGTTGCTAGTACCATCTGTAAGAATCTTGGCTAGTACCTAGACATAGAATAAATACCAAGGTTCTGAGACTTACCAGATTTCTTCCCGAACGTGTTCCAAAATTGTAACCTTTATGCAGTAGATTAGCGTGCGTAAGGTATAGCATATATGGCGCTCAAATGCGCCATTTTCACATCAACACGGAATCATTGGCCTTGGAGAAGGGCATTGGTATTGACTCAGTTTTTGCCAGCTGCTGCCGTATGATGGCGCTAGTAGAGCGCTATATGTATAATACGCTCTGCTAGCGCCACCATGCGGCGCCAGTTGGCTAAAAATCTGATCGATACTACGGTTTCTGGAGAATGCCTTGGATTCATTTTTAGCTTTATGGATTTATGCAAGGGCATGTTGGTTTTATGAATTGTCTTCTGGCTGTGATAGAAATAATTTCAAAGCTGTTTGAGTTATGAAATGCATTTTAATATCAAACATGAACTCTGATTTCCGGTGGGCATAGTGACTTTGGTATGTCAATGTCTTTGAAAAGGCAGGTGAGAATGCCACTGGTCAGCCTTGCTTCAATTGGATTTGTGTCCATTTATAAATGGATTTCAGTCATACCTACTTACCTACATATTAAATTGTTATTTGATTTCTACAGCTCAAAATATTGCTAGGTTTTGTACAGCAAACTGAATGGAGTGATCCGTACAAACATTTGGTGAAATGTTTTCTGGATTGCTAGCACTTAGAACTTGTTTATTCTGTTGTAGGTGACAAGATAAGAAATTGAAGCAAGACTGACCAGTATGCTATAGAATAGGTAGCCCAATCTGCAGGAATATTAATATTCAAAAGTGGAATTGGGACTTATGAACTGGAAACTGCATCAACTATGACTGTTTGCCAAAGCATAAAAGATATTAATATTTACCATAAAGCACAGGGAAATGATAGGACCCGGTTGGACCCGGCCAAATATTTTGGGGGACCCGGTCTGGACCCATCCGGGTCCAGACCGGTTCCATAGACCGGGTCCCCGGGTCCACATTTTGCCACCTCTAGTCTGAGGTCAGTCGGCGGTCTGAGGTCAGTCGGTGGTCTGGGGTCAGTCGGCGGTCTGGGGTCAGTCGACGGTCACCGGTGGTCCGCGCGGTCCCACGGTGGCAGGGCTCTGCTGGAGCACTAACCACGCCCGACTGTACGGACCCGGTCAGCCGCAGTGACACCGCGCGCATAGTGGACCGAGGCTTCCGGACAGTTGCATGACCAGCATGGGTGTCGGAGCCGGCGTCGGCCAGGCAGGGTGACCCACGGAACACAGGACAGTCGGGCGGGAGGAGCGGCTGCGATGGGCTGGTTTGTAGGCGACACCACTGTTAACCCGCGCCCCTCTGGGGAGGTGGGGGCTATTCATAGCCCCCCCCCCCCCCCCTCCCGTTTTTCTGCAATAACTTCCAACCCGCTTGACGCATCGACGCCAAACTTTCAGTACCTTCGGCTGCATCCATTTGACACCTTGTGTCAAAATATGAACTTCGTAGCTACCATAGGTCGGCCGGAAATGACGTCAGAGTGACGTTATGTCCGGCCGATTTCGACGCAAAACATTGAACCACGGCAATCGCTCCCAAGAGCTCAGTTTTTAGGCTAGATCCAATTTCTTTGCAGGAAAGGATTCAGAATAGACTGCGCTATCAAACTGCTATCTCGGATTTTCAAAATTTTGAAAATTGTCAAAATTATATATAATAAAAATCAAAATTTATGCTTTTATATTTTTTCAAAAACTTTTTG